GGCCCTCCACCAGGCCCCCCTCCTGGCCTCCCACCAGGCCCCCCTCCACGAGGACCCCCTCCCAGACTACCACCCCCGGCACCGCCAGGTAGGCATCAGTGTGCTTACAGTCTATGAAGGCACACATGAGCATGTGTACATGCACATATGTGTAGTACTACGAATCCAATCTGTGTATATACTGCTTATATTCTTGTGTGCATGAACACATGCTGAGCAAACATGACACAACTCTTTGTCCAACAGCACTGCAAAGAAATGTATATTTTATTTGCCACTGGTGTTCAGCTGCTGTGAAACCCAAAGCTCGGCAGTAAAAATAGACTTAAACACATCATTTAATATATGTAAGCATACAAATCTAAGGAGTGGTGAAGAGGAATTTCTCATCAAAATATATGTCTTTTGTCTTTTGACAGGTATACCACCTCCTCCCCCAAGAGCAGGAGGGCCCCCACGTTCCCTTGCCCCACCACTCTCCCTCTTCCCTCCACCCCTCAACTCCAACGTGCTCAGTGCTCCTCCCAACATTGTTCAGCGGCAAAAAGGCTCAGGATCCAACCAGGATGGTTCACAGGGCAACATGCCGCCCCCTGCCATGCCCATGCCCATGCGACCGGGTGTCATGCAGATGCCTCCTCCCCCAGGGACAGCTTCAGCCCCTGGAGGCGCCAATCCTGGCAGCAACCCCCCCAGCCACCACCACGCAGCCACCATCGAAAAGCGGCCCAACATCACCTCTGTGGCAGCAGCTGGAGGCGGCATGGCAGCGGGTGCCGGCTCTGGTGGCGCCACCATCTCTGCCAAGCCTCAGATTATCAATCCAAAGGCGGAGGTCACCCGCTTTGTGCCCACGGCACTGAGGGTGCGTAGGGACAAGAGTGGAGCAATGCCTGGGGCAGCACCTGGGCCTATGGAGAAAGCAGGGGGTGGTATTGGAGGAAGGAGGGGAGATGACGGCATGGGAGGTGGACAGGGGCAGAAACAGCTGGCCGTGGCTGCTCAGATGGGCCTGGTCAACTCAGCCCAGATGGGTGCTGTGTCTCAGTCCAACATGAAGACTAAGGACCAGGTGTATGAAGCCTTTATGAGGGAGATGGAAGGACTCCTCTGAGACTTAAGAGGGCATTGGGGCAGATGTTCAGCGGGCGCTCTGAATGAAAGGGGTGTATTTGTTTCTGTGCAGAGTTATAGAGGTACCTGTCTTCAAGGCAGTCAGCTAGATTAGTTTCTCATAAGTAAACCAAGGAATGGCTGCTACAATGTCAGCACTGGTCTCAGCAGGCTCATCCTCATATGATCTGGTTATTATTTGTCCTGTCAAAGAAAATGTGAATTTGATGTACGTAAGAAATCTGATTATCTATCTACGTAATTGGAAACATTTAGATTGGCTGCTGTTCTTCTGGGTGACTCATAAAAAGAACACTATTCTCTGCACTGGATAAAAAATGCCAGAGACTACCAAGAGCTTTTTGTCTCCAGTTTTGTTTTTGTTTTTCATACAACTGTGTTTTTTCCTCCAGCCAGCTATTTGTGATTTGCCATGTCCATAAAAAGCATTTTGTATGATTTTAATGACTGACTATTTTATTGGTGATCTAAACACGTTGGACATTAAAATAAAGGTGTGGAATGTTTGTCAACCACTGACAAAATACATTTCTGAGACTGTTTGATCTGCAGCTAAATAAATACGTCATAAACTGTTTTCACCTCATGTTTCAGTGTGAGTTAATGGAGACAATATAAGGACAAAATGAGTTTAATATAACAATTATTGGATGCTAATAATATCAATTTTTTGTTTTAGTGTTGAAGATAAGTTCGTGGTATATCTTTACAGGGACGTATTAAAAACAACAATTCCCGTCGTCCATTGTGGCTTGAGGTCGACCTTGTTTCCGCATCTGCGCATTGCGGAGCTGACGACACGTTGGGGCCAAAAGCATGGCGGACGTTGAGGAAAGCGTGAAGCCAAACACAGAAGAAACACTCGTAGGATCGAGTAGTGATGATGAGAACAGTGACGTTAATGGCGGCGAAGCGGATGAGACAGTGAAGACCTTCAAGGACTTGGTAGGTTTCTCTCAGAGGGAAGAAGAAGACGTTATTCTAGCAACATAAACAAGCAGCAGCTTGAGCTAGCGAAAACTGAGCTAACGTTAGTTTCATCCTGATGTTTGTAACATGAAATATACCCACTGTGTGTCGATGTTTAAAGGAATGGTGTCACTTGGTATAAAACATGATCAGCAGCTGACTAAAGTCCTGTCCCCGCTGCGTGTCCCCGCTGTGTGTGCCGTCCACAGGGTGTTACTGAGGTTCTCTGTGAGGCTTGTGATCAGCTGGGATGGAAGACTCCAACAAAGATCCAGATAGAGGCTGTACCAGTGGCTCTGCAAGGTCAGTGCTTACAGTCTCTGTAGTCTGTCAAACGCTTACTGATCACAGTGCTACGGTGTCCTATGAAAGTAACAATACTGCAGTGTATGAGTACTCCAGTCCTGCATTCAAAATGTTATTTAAGTCGCTGTACAGTATTGGTGTAACATCATCAGCTATATGTGGTTAAGGTCATTATGCAGCAGCATGAGCTCTGTCAGTATTCCATTGTTTTTATTGTATTGTATTGTTATTGAGCAGCATTTTAATGTTGCAGCTGTTTGTAGTGGGGATAAATCTACTTATTAATATACTTTTGGGTCGTTCAATTGTCATACATAACAATTCATCACAGTTAATATGCTTTTGTGATCGACAGTGCAGAATGTTTTTTTAAACTGACACACCTCAACAAGGCTTTCCAGTTCAATAAATACAATTATTTGAGGTTTTTTAAATAATATAATATCTGCCAAATAAACGAGTAAAAGTACCGTATATCTGAAAAGTTCTGGAGTAAAATTAGAAAGTTAAATAAAATGGAAATTCTCAAGTAAAGGGCAATACTTCAAAATGAGTGCAGTACCTAAATGTATGCAGTTAATTTCCTCCTCTGCTTTGTACACAACTTCATTAAGATCTGTCTGTATCTTCTTGAACTGCAGGGAGGGATGTCATTGGCCTGGCAGAGACTGGTTCAGGAAAGACGGGTGCCTTTGCTCTGCCCATCCTCCAGTCACTGCTGGCCTCGCCTCAGAGGCTCCATACCCTCGTCCTCACCCCTACCAGGGAGCTGGCATTTCAGATCTCTGAGCAGTTTGAGGCTCTGGGCTCCAGCATCGGTGTTAAGTGTGGTACGTGTCCATTACAGGTTCACTGGTTTGCGATGATGCAGGTTACTTTCTATGATTCTGTATCTGAAACTTGTCTGTTTCTGTTGCAGCGGTCATAGTTGGAGGAATCGACATGATGTCCCAGTCCTTGGTGCTGGCAAAAAAACCACACATTGTTATTGGTAAGACCATAAGTGAAACAAATGGTCAGAGTTTTTTTTTTTTCACACAGATGTCATAAACGGTAGCACATCTACGCTAAATTCATTATGTTCTGTGTGTGTGTGTACATTTCTTCATGCTGAACAGATGTTGTGATGGATGTCTTCAGTATAAATGTGTCTCATTTATATCTTTTCATTGATTATTTTTTTAAATAATGTCCATTATTCAGATTACCCATACTACACCAATACTGTATAACTCTATTTAATCTGATCAGCACCCAGAGCAAGCAAAAGTATCCTTTTTGTTTTGAAATTAGCAATGTTGGGTCACTAGTGGGAAACGTAATACATGTGAAACAATGAATTACATTTCCCCTTATAAGAAAATGTTCAGTGTAAACAACTGCTAATTTTCTCATGAATGTGATGTGTTTACAGCCACACCTGGCCGGTTGATAGACCACATGGAGAACACAAAGGGCTTCTCCCTACGAGCTCTGAAGTACCTGGTCATGGACGAGGCAGATAGAATCCTCAACATGGACTTTGAGACTGAGGTTAGAAACTCTCAATGTTAATGCTTTCATTCAGTGCAGCAGTTCCTCCCATGCGTTTAGCTTTATTTTGTAATATGCTCTGTAACTTTATATGAAGAAATATAATCATATGGAAATATTCCTTCATTTTACTTTGAACTAAAATAGGTGCATGTTTTCTTTCTTTTGCCAGGTGGATAAAATCTTGAAGGTGATTCCCAGAGACAGACGCACCTACTTGTTCTCTGCCACCATGACCAAAAAGGTAGACGATATTCCTGCTCTGTTCTGTGTTACTGGTTGCTTGACACCAGAGCATTACGTCACTCGTAGACCTTGCAAGTGTTTCTCTCGCCCTGACATTCTTTCATCTTGTTCACAGGTCCAGAAACTCCAGAGAGCAGCTCTGAAAGATCCTGTGAAGTGTGCGGTATCCACCAAATACTCTACAGTAGACAAACTGCAGCAATACTATGTCTTCATACCATCGAAGTACAAGGTAGGGCACACTAAAATGCACATTTTAATGTCTGAATCGGTCCATCCTGTGTCTTCAGAATGCAACAGTCACTCTGTGATGGTATTTATAGAAAGTATATTGAAGTGTGTTTGTTTTGTGGCAGGACTGCTACCTGGTGTCCATCCTGAACGAGCTAGCTGGGAACTCATTTATCATTTTCTGCAGTACGTGTAACAATGCCCAGCGGGTGGCGCTGTTGTTAAGGAACCTTGGCATCACTGCTATCCCTCTTCATGGCCAGATGAGTCAGGTAGAGCTGCAGAGGAACACTCACACTGTTCACACACACACTGTTCTCACCTCCTAGGCCTTCAGTCACAGTCAGACACACTTCCTGGAATCCAGTTGGTCTTAAAAAGTACAAACATTTGTCCTCTGAGAGCTTAGCGTCAGAAATGAGCTTTGATAGTGATGTTATACACTCCACTGTAATGGTTTGATGACTGAAGGACAGTAGTATCTATTTGCTTGTCCTCTTTCTCTCTGCATATGCCATATGCTATTTATAAAATAGATAATACTGGTTCATAATGTTCATAAGACACAATCATAAGTGCAATAAACAACACTTTTTGTTTTAGAGCTGAAACAGTTAATCAATCAATCAACAGAAAATTAAACTTTTTTGATTGATTTTTAAGTAATTTTTTAAAGCAAAAATGACATACTTTTCGATGATAGAGGGAATATTTGGATTTTGGACGTTAAATCATACCTAATGATACATTTTAAGATGTTGCTATGAAAATTAGTGGTTGATAAATTGATCATGAAAATACTTATTAGTTAAAGCTCTGCATTATTTCACTGTTAGGAACAACATTATTTTGTCGCTGTCCATTGTCAGATTGTTTACTATAAGCAAGCATATAGAGATTTTTTCCATTTTCAGTCCGTTTTCACTGTTGCTTTACTGATGATGATAAACACCAATCCTTTACTCATCCTTGTTTCAGCCGTTGTGTTAATGTCATATTTTTGGCGTCATATTTTTGGCGCCATTTGGGCTGAAAGAACAGCACCCTCTTGTGGTTTTGTGCCATACAGCAATACAACTTTTTTCCCCACCAAACCTGACATGTTCATTTACTGTAATTATAATCACTACATTGTTTAGAGGATGTAGGAGGCGTTTCCATCAGGGCTAAATGCCTCTCTGCCGTCTCTTTTTGCTGTCTATTTAATGTCTTCTTCACTCTCTTTTGTTGGTCAGAATAAACGTCTTGGAGCGCTAAACAAGTTCAAGTCCAAGTCTCGATCGGTGCTGCTGGCGACCGATGTGGCATCCAGAGGACTGGACATTCCTCATGTTGACTGCGTCATCAACTACGACATCCCCACTCACTCCAAGGTACCTTGGTGCAGACATTCACATTCACATTGATGATTTATTTGATTATTTTATTAGTGTGATATGATTTTAATGTTTCCTTTGGTCGGTCTGCCCTAATAGGATTACATCCATAGAGTCGGACGAACAGCCAGAGCAGGACGGTCTGGGAAATCCATCACGTTTGTCACTCAGTAAGAACTGCCTGTTCCTCACCAGTAACCACATATTATCTTTAATGTCTTGATATTTGATTGGCTATGGTTTTCTTTAAATCATTTTATTATTAAACTGCTGATACGTTTTGATTAAAATTAAACTCAGTGTGCTTGTCTGCTTTCTGTTTTTATCACATGCTGCTGTTTATGCTTTTAAGTAAAAAGGTGAACATGAGTTGACAGCAGTAAACTGACTTATTCTGTTACCTTAGATATGATGTGGAGCTTTTCCAGCGAATCGAAAGCCTGATTGGGAAGAAACTTCCTGCCTTCCCTACACAGGAGGAGGAAGTGATGATGTTGGTGGAGAGGGTGAGCGAGGCCCAGAGATTTGCCAGGCTGGTAAGTTATCTATGATTAGTTTTCTGCCCACTTAACTTAAAGGTCCTTTCAAACAGACAAAACAAATATGGTGAATTGTTAGGAATAGAATAAATAATAAATTCTTCATCTCACCACCTGTTTACCAGCTTAATAAGAGGTCTATGGGTAGAAAGCTATAGATGTGGCACGCATTGCAAAAAGGGGGTGGTGGATGATGGGATAGAGATAAATGTAATAAGAGTAAAGTGTTTCTGTTTTTACTCTGTTGTAAAACTATGACTCTAAATCAGGGGAACTTGTACCACTAGAGGATAGGAAAACTTTTTTTATTCTTATTTTATAAAAACGATATCCATGTAGTGACACCTGTAACTCCTAAACACCACATGTTGTTATTGAGAGTGCGTGGAAACTAGTCAGCAAGCTAGCATAGAAATCTAACCACTAGTTGTAAAGGATAAATGTTTATAACAGATAACTAAACTTAATAAACAGACCCTTCAGATAGGTAATTAAAATAATTGGATGATAATGGTATAAATAGTTGGTTAAAAGTAATAGATACATTGCTAAAAGGGATACAAGTCGCTAAAAGTGTTGGATAAACAGGTTCAATAGTTAACTAAAAGTAGTGGATAAATGGTTGAAACATTACTTCTCCTAGTAGTCGTACAAATGCAAAAAATATAGTAGAGGTGAGCATATATATTCTCTCAGTGACGGCTAGTGACAACTCAAGATAGACAAGAGAGGAGATGAGACGCAGAAAAGGGCCACAATCTGTAGTCGAACCCACGGCCGCTGCAGCCAGGTAAGTGGGCCACCAGCTCTACCAGGGCGCCCCATATTCCTCATTTTTATGAGGCCCCCTTGGAACCCCCTTTAGGGCCACTGGTGGCCACTGGTGGTCCCTGGGCACCTGATTGAGAACCACTACATTAAGGGGATCATCTGACAGGACTGTGGGGCTACATCTGGAGAAAATGTTTGGGAACCACTGTTTCAAAGAAAGGTGGATGTCAGATCTAGACGGTACACTGAAAAGAAATGTCCCACTAAATGTTAAATTGAGAAAATGTCTCGTCTTCCTCAGGAAATGAAGGAGCAAGGTGAGAAAAGGAAAAGGCCCAAAAGAGGAGATGGAGACGAGGATGACACAGAACAAGCAAGTGGAGTGAGGAAGAAAGTGAAAGGAGGACCAGGAGGTGGAGGAAGAGGGGGAGGAGGGGGAGGAGGAGGAGGTGGAGGGATGAAGAAGAGGGGTGGAGCAGCCTGGAGGGGAGGACGCTGAAACCTCCCAACATTAACAGACTGTACATAACCACAACATACAAATGTCTCTCGTTTTTTGATGTTACAACTTGATTATGACAACAGCGTGTTTTCCAGTGTTTAGTATGGAAGCAAACTATTTAATTACAGAAAACATGCCTTTTCCTGCTCTTCTGTGAGATTTTTCCATTTGTAATAAAAGATGCCACAGTAAAACCCAAAGCTTGTGTTTGTGGTAGAGTGATGTATGATTGCGTGAGTTTTGTGGCGCATAAAAGGCTGCTGTTGTCGCTTTTAGACACCAGAGGGCAGTGTTTCAGTTTACAGCAGGGGAATGGGAACGATGACTTAATAGATGACCTTTGAGTGGGATAAAGTTGGATGTCTTTGTATGAAAGCAGATTTCAGATTCTCTCTTTTGATTTTTTTTTTTCAAATTCCCTTTAATGCACAAACTTAGCACCATTTACCAGCCAGATGCTGCTAATATTTGTAAGTGGTTGGTAGATTTGCTTTACTCACCGACCTAAAAGACAAAGGAGATCTATTGAGTGGCTAATAAACATCTGACCATTCACTAGCCATTTGGCCAGTGGACAAAAAAAAAGTTAATGTTGCACATTCTGAGAAGACTGAAGACCTGTGAGACACCAGAAGGTAACAGATTGTTCAACAGTCACCATGCAAGTTACTTGGAAGCAACAGTTGCAATATCAATATTATTTATCACGCATGTTATTGATTTGCAGCAAACTGATTTCCTTCCAACCAATGATGGAAGGAGGGGCGCAAAGCGAGAGCCCAATTGTGTCTGGGCTGCATCCAGTGGGTGTGTGCAATGCATAGATATTTGGGGGATAGATTTAAAAAAAAAAAAAAAAGACTACCATCGCACAATATCATCATATCCTGATAAAACGCTCAACAACGTGTGTTCCTGAATTAAAACAGAGTGTGACAGCCATCGGCTCACCGCAACACACATTTCTGCCCAGGTGAATCATCCCAGAGCGCTGTCACAGTGTGCTGTATCGATCTGCACGGTCACTCTCTATGTGGAGCACAGTCCGTCGTAGGCGGGAGCAGCAGCGGTCAGGTCTGCTCGGTTTAGGAGGGGCCCCAGTGTAGAGGCAGCACTGTGCCTGCGGTGCATACCAGAGCCCAAATACATGCCTGCATTTCAATTGTGTGTAGCAGCCAGACGCATACAGGGTCGCATCAGGGGACATCGGACCGCTCGGTGAACAGGATCACACTGCTGCTTGCTGACTTACACCAGGTGAGTTAGTTAACTGACCGCGAGGACAGGGATGAGAGAGCGCGTGTTAGTCAGTGTGGATGAACGGACCGGTCTCGAGGACGGAGGTCGCTCTGGAAACTTATTGTTATTATTATTTACTATTATAGTCATTATTTGGTCAATAAGTTAAGTAAGAGCACATCGTTTAATGTGGGGCAGCCTACCTTTCTGACCCCCTTTTCCACATAGACAGACATTAAAGAGGTGACACTAAACTCACATCAGACAAGAGTCAGTGCTGTTTAATGTTATTATAAATATAAAACATATATATGCTAAACAATGTTATTCGAGCTTCATGAAACTTACTACCCTCTCTGAAGCTAACGTTCATTGTTTTTGTTTGTCCTATCTTGATAATAACTGGACTTTTAGCTAGCAACGTTATTCATCATATTATGGTACATTCCGGCTACCTGAGTTAGTGAGTTAGCTGCATTAGTTAGCTGTGTGAGCTGCGCAGGTCCATTGCCACAGATATTAGCCTAATATTTGTAAACAGGGACTTCACGTAAGCCCCCCCCCCCCCCCCCCGCTGGTTTCCGTTCATCCTGTGCTTTTTTGGGGACCTGCCAATGCACAGTCATTGTGTCTGTTGTATAAGCTCCATCTGTGTGGACAAGAGCAGGTTGTAACGTTGAACATTACCCGTGTGTTACAGTGAATTATCTTCTGTACTGCAAGCACGCAGAGGGGGGGGGGACTCGTAATGTGCCATTCGCGACGTCGCTCCGTCCGGTTTGATGGGCTGTGAGAGCTGTGTAACCTACGCAGTATGCGCTATTGTGCAGACCCATTCAGCGAGAGTCGTGCAGACCTCCAGACCCACGCTGAAACCTGGCTTTAAAATGTGGTTCAACTTTTAATTCGTGCCACCATTCAGCGTTAGTCCTGATCTGAACTGGTGACATGCGTCCTCACTGTGCTCTGTGTGTGTGACTTGGTTGTACCACATATGATTTCCATTCATGGCTTCTGTCACACAGAATGATCTGACTGGAATATCCAGATTACATAAACTGCAGTTTTACTGTGTGACAACAAATGTGTGACAACCAGCATTATATGGAGTTACTTTAGTGCTGCAGAGATATCCTGCCCAAAAAGTCTTCTTCTCCAGACGTAAAAAAAAAACATGCTTGTCATGTCATGAGTTCAATAGTTCTTTAATTGAAAATTAAAATTGTGATACAAAAAAAAGTATTCCCACTAATTGTGATGCATATTATCATAATATCTGTCAAAATAATCACTATATGATTTATTGTACCATATCATGTAGTCCCAATAATTATTTATAGTTATAAAAGGAAATTATGCAAATATTAGTAATTAGTGACTCCAATCATGATAAAGTGAAGGTAAAAACCATTATCTCTCACTGAGTCTCTGTACTGATGAGAGTGAGCCATAGAGGACTGTTACAGAGTTTTAGGGACACATGTATTTCGTCTCTAATATTACCAATCCCTGCGTCCCTGTCTCTTCTAGGTGGCCACGTTGCTCTGGTAAACCCCGGGTAAGATGTCTCATCGGAGTGGGCAAGAGGACCCAGAGCGGTACCTGTTTGTGGACCGGGCTGTAGTCTACAACCCGGCCACACAGGCCGACTGGACGGCCAAGAAACTGGTGTGGGTCCCCTCGGAACGCCATGGCTTTGAGGCGGCCAGCATCCGGGAGGAGCGTGGTGAGGAGGTGCTGGTGGAACTGGCGGAGAACGGTAAGAAGGTGGTGATCAACAAGGATGACATCCAGAAGATGAACCCGCCCAAGTTCAGCAAGGTGGAAGACATGGCCGAGCTCACCTGCCTGAATGAGGCGTCTGTGTTGCACAACCTGAAGGACCGCTACTACTCGGGACTCATATACGTGAGTGACTTAGACCTGCAGCCTTCAGAGATTGTCTGTGTTTTTGTAACAGTGTATACTTTCCACAGTGGGGGATGATTAACCTTAAAGATCACAGGTCCCCTGGGTCTCACACTTATAGATTGAATTTCACCCCTAGTTCTGATAATTGTGAAATGATAGGCAGCATTTCTGTCTTTTGCCCTTTTATGTGAAAGTAAGTTCTGATATGTATCGGTGTTTGTTTGGGCACAGAGAGGGCATTGAGCTTTGTGCTGTTCTGAATGAATCCTGACCACACACCAATGTTTGCACACAGTATGAGTGACAGATCTTGCTAGTCTTTTAACCATTGCCAGACCTTTACCTCCATTGGATCTTCTCTTCTTAGTACCCCTGGGTTACTGATTGTTACCTCCCCCCATGGTTTCTCTCTCACCTCAGCCAGAGGCAGGCCTGTTCCATAAACACTACTGGTTTCAGTTTGTTTGTCCTGCTCTGTGCTCCTACTGGTGATCACAGAGATGTCTTGACCTCTCTCTCTCGTCTGTGGCAGCCATAAAACGTAAACTACGTAAAACTAAACACATTTGCCCAAAAAAGGAACAAGGAATGATTTTGTCACCTTGTTTTCAACTCCATCCAAAGGGACCAGTGTTTTTAAATGCATTCAACTTGTAGAGTAGTTTGGAAAAGCTCTGGTATCTGTGGTCAAAAATCTAATCCAGAACAAACACATGTTTAAATTAAACTAAACTATGGCCAGTTAAGCGATTTTCTTGTCTAATCTCTTCATCATATCTTAGACTGAATTTATCACAACCAAAGTTTGTAGTGGTCTGTATCACTGCAGTGCCACTGTCCCTATAATCCAGTTACAGCTACAGAAAGAGCTGCTGTGTGATGTTCTAGATGTGATCTTGACCCATTTAGTGACGTTTTTTCCAGGATTAGAATGTGGGTTGGTTACCACCTGAGAGACTCCGGTCCGGGGACTGCAGGGGGAATTATTGCACTTATAATTGATCCTCCTCACCACACATCATGATGATCGCCATATTATCAATTTCCCATATGCTTTGAATTGACATGCCAGTCCCCCAGTTTCCTCCTGGGTTCCTCTTCATTTTCTCTCTCATACCATAGTGTCATGGTTTCTACTTTTTTGTGGTTCAGAATTGGCTTTGGATCTCGTTAATTTGCCCCTTGGCCAAGAGAAATTGGAAACATGTGCCTGACTGCATTGGTTTTCTATCAGGAAGAGAAGTTTCCCATTCAGCTCGCTTTCAGAAGACGAAACCCCCTCTATGTTCTGAACTTTTCTCAGTGTGTTTGACTTACCCCCCAGAGCTCAGCTACGTCTACTGCAGACATAATATAATGCCTCCCCCAGGCTGTGTTCATGTATGGCTATTGGGAAGACTTCCATATCTGAATCGTAGTATGATCAGCATAGATCTGCCAGAGTCTGCTTGAAATTGAGCGAAGCAGCAGTCGGATCCTGGTTTTACTGGGAATGCATTACAGTCCATAGCCCACTTCACTTTCAGATATTAAAGGAGCATTTAAAAAAATAAAGAAAAGGAAATTTAAAGGAGGTTTGTAGTCACTTGTTCATTTTAAATCACAATCACACACCTCTACTGGGCAGCAACTGAAACCTGAAGGCTACCACAGCATTTTTAAGCTTCTGGTCTATGACTCACTTATGCTGGCCCCTTCTGTGGCCCTTTGCCCATCTGACGGCTCCGTCCGTGTGAAGTCACACAGCCTGTTTAGCCAACTCATTTATTGTAGCAGCTTGCCATCCGTGAGGTGGTGAGTCACAGGCTAACCGCTATGCTACAGACTAGGCTACACGACCACACTGGCGGGGTTACAAGCAGGCCTTTGTGTCGTTAGATAAGCCTCAGCTGTCAGAAAGCTTCAGCATTCTTCCATGGCAAAAAGATCGTCCGTCTGTCTGTCTCCTGCCGCCCACTTCAGCACTGCTGCAGCTCAGTGTCCGTCCTATCTTCACCAACTCTACTCCCTTTCCCACACTCTCTCTGCTTCTCTCCTCTTCCCAGCCTCACTTGTCCTGAACAGTAATGACATGGACTTTTTTTTTTCTCCATCTTTCTTACATCTCCACTTTTTTGGCACTTTGAATATTTCTGCCGTTCAGATGCTAGATGTATGCAAGACAAAACATGTCCCATTTTCCTCCTCAAAACTTGTGTATTTTTTAATGCTGCAGGGCAACAGGTAAAGCAGCCTAGGAAAAAATAATGAAAACAAAAATGCACCGTCATGCTCATTCTCATATTCCTCTGCAGAGAGAGAGTTTTTACATGTTTGAATTAAAGTCACATGTGGTCCTTCATTCTGTTTGCTTTTCATGTCACCATGATTTTTAACAAACAGTAGCATGAATTTGCGAGTATGAACTGAATAGAATACCACCAAGTCATACTGCATTGTTAACAGACTGCAGTATAAGTTTAAAGCCAATGGCCACCCTGCTCTAGAATTCAGTGAGCAAGAATTTCCAACTTATTAGAGCTGCGGAGAAGCAGAAGGTGTCCTGCTGCTGTCGGTGTGATTTGATACTATGCGTCTCAGTGTATTGATCATATTTCAGAAGCCTAGTCTGAAGTATTTGCAAGCTCTGTTATGAAATCACTAGAGCGAAGCGCTGTCAGGGGAATGGTCAAGGTCTCCTGTACTCCACGCAGATCAATGGCACCAAGGCTGCCTCTGCACTCAGAGTGCCCTCTTCTCCAGCCTCTGCAATGGAGAAGGGCCTTTCCACGTAGGCACACTGCCTGACTGATCAGAGGTGGCAGATGGGGTCGGCTGTTGTGTCTGCTGTTGGCTGTATGTTGCTCAGCTGTTACTAGGCCACAGCATCCCCTCCCCTGGATCTGATTTCACTGTGGAAATATCACCTTCTCTTTCCTGGACTGGGCCGCCAGACATGTTGGTTTGGCAGGCGGTGTTGATTCTGCCGTATGCACTGCTAGCTGACGACAGTAGTAGCCAATGTTCTTTATACTGCAAGGAACCTGCAAGGTTTTTCACAATAATTGCAATAAAGTGCAACAACATGCATGAAAAAGTACATCTCCTCTTTTTGATGTTGAAGCATTTTTGTTTAACTGGTCACAGAGATGATTGGGGGATTAACAAGGGAGCTTTAACATTTGCTTTAAATAGAAGCTGCAGTCAAATTCAGCTACTGTTGTTTTTATTGATCAGATTATGTTTCCCAAAGCAAACCCTGATGCAGCATTTCAGAGACTGCCTATTAAATATTTGCTATATAGAAATGATGCAGCAAATTACAATGCCCCCTTTAACCCTTGAGCTGCCTGGGACTGTCCACGTTGAACCTGCAGTCCAGGTGTCTCTCTGCAGCCTCGCCAGCTGCTTCAGTGCTGCGTGTCACAGAACCGAAGAGGACAGAACAGACCCCCTATTTATAGCAGCTCCTGTTTTCAGATAAGGGGGAATTAATTTTTCATTAGCCTCGAAAAGGAGAGTGGAGAGTTAGAATTTCAGCAGGCCCCTGTCTCTATCTCTTTCTCTCTCTTTCTCTGGCCTCCTTTTTACATGGTGCACGCACACATAGAAAAATACATATAAATGCACATACAGACATACCCTCACTTAGAAAAAAACATGTGTCCAGCACTTAACCACGCTTGTAGAGTCTATGCTGATGGAATTAGAGTAGGGAATGTGTTTGTACCAGAAATAGCAAGAAGAGTTAATCTGCAATTTTTCATGCGAACATGTTCATGGCTGTAATCAGATGTGGATAATATACCCTCAAGCAAGGATATCAGTCAGAACCAAGGTTTTCATCTAGAATTAAAACTTAAGTTGTGGTGTGTGTGTGTGTTATAATATACATGCATGCGTGGGTGTTCACTGGCCTTAGACTTGGCCTTAACCTCAGAGCGCAGCCCTTTCTGTTGCCTGTGTATCTGCTTGGTGCAGCACAGACAGCTCAGCTATGTTGAAGCAGGGGTAAATATTTGGAGAAGGATAATGGCTGCTAGAACTCCCAGATTTCAAGTCAACTTTGTAACTTTGTCTATTAATAATTAACTACTGAGAGGACAGGTTAAGGAAGATATGCTGATTCAAAATCTGTATGAATGATTCATATTTGCAACTAAATATTTAGATC